AGGATAGTCATATATAATTATGAAAATGTGTGAAAGGTAATTCGGATTGTAATTGTAACAATAGCCTGAATGTTTAAAAATGAATTTTAAAGATCTCAGGACCGTCTCCTCCTGAGGAGTCAGCTACAGAATCGTGTCACCAGCAATGCAGAGCATGCTCAGGAATGGCAGCAGGTTAGTGTGAGAGCATCTGCACACGCACAGTGAGGCCAAGACTTTTGGACACCGGCCTGTTGTCAAGAAGGGCAGCAAAGAAGTCACTTCTCTCCAAGAAAAACTTCAAGGATAGACTGAAATTCTGCAGAAAGTACAAGGATTGGACAGCAGAAGACTGGTGCAAAGTTATTTACTCTGAAGCTCCCTTCCGACTGTTTGGGACATCTGGAAAATCAATTGTTCGGTGAAGAAAAGGTGAACGCTACCATGAATCCTGTGTTGAGCCAACAGTGAAGCATCCTGAGACCATCCGTGTGTGGGAATGCTTTTCAACCAAGGGAGTGGGCCCTCTCATAATTCTGCCCAAAAACACTGCCATGAGTAAAGAATGGTATCAAAACGTCCTGCAAGAATGACTTCATCCAACAATCCATGATCAATTTGGTGCTGATCCGTGCATTTTCCAGCATGATGGAGCACCATGTCACAAAGCAAGAGTGATAAAGAAGTGGCTCGAAGATCATCACATTTAAATTTTGGATCCGTGGCCAGGCAACTCCCCGGATCTCAATCCCATAGAGAACCTGTGGTCAGCGAGTGGACAAGCAGAAGCCCACAAATTGTGATCAACTCCGACAACTAATAAGGCAAGAATGGATCGCCATCAGTCAGGATTTGGCCCAGAAGCTAATATCCAGCATGCCAGAGCGAATTGCAGAGGTTATGAAGAACAAGGGTCAACAACTGTAAATATTGACACATTATATTTTTTGCCAATAAAAGCCTTTAAAACTTATGATATGCTTATCATTGTTTTTCAGCATACCATAGAAACGTGGAAAAATAATCTACAAATACTGAAGTAATACTT